CGTGCTGTCGCAGGTGAAGAAGGCGGTGGAGGCCCTCCTGGCTTTCAGCAGAAGCAAGGCCAAGGGAGACGCACTGCTCCTCAACGAGAGCGAGAACGTCCACCTCCTGGTGACGGTCTGGAAGGTCCCGCGGGTGGCACAAGTCATCAAAATGTAAGAAATTTACCTTCGGCCGTGTAGTTACAGGGGTTGCTCGTCTCCTTCGGCTTGGAAAAGAGCACGTTGCTGATTCTGAGCTTAAAGGATTTGACTGCTACGGCCCTGTCCTGGCAGTTCCCGTGCCGTGGGCGAGAACTGTCGGGTCAGACCACTGCTTTACCCCCACTTTTACTGTAACGGGAAGCTCGGCTGTGCCTGCGTTGTGCACACAGAGAATACTGATTTTGTTGGTTGTCAGTTACAAGGTATGTGCTTTTCAATCCTGAAGCTCAAGAAAAGAAATCAACCTCTTCTTTGTCTTAACCCAGCACCAAATCATTAGAAAGACTCCTTCTTCTTTCTTGTGATACCCAAAACTGAATATGAGTTACAAGTTTTCTTTCTCAATGTAGCATAGCTACAGTTTAAAAGTTTACATATTTATTTGGGGCCCGGTACTACAAAGATTTCCCTAATGACTGGATGCAGCCATGTGTAAAGAAAGGAGAATGGATGGTCCTCCTCTTCCTCCCAGGACCTCTGTGGTAACGGCTGCCGGTAGGACAGATGGATTCAGCGTTGTATCTGACTGGACCTATGGTATATGATTGTTTTAACTTTTATGGTCTTGTGTGCTTTAAAAAGTATAGGTTCCACTGGGGACGTTTAGTAGTTAACTAAGAACAGAATCTAGATACATAGCTTCCCTGTAGTACTTGTTAAAGGGTAATGATCTCTCAGTGTAGACCTAGTTCTGGAAGAAACTTCTTTCTCCTCTTAGATGTTCCCTGTCCATCTCATATTCTCGTTGTAGACCACTGCCCCATGGCATTCGGCCAGAAACAACTGAGGTTTGCCTGTTCACAAAGGATGAACCAAATTTATCAGCAGAACAGACTGAAAATCTGTACAGGAAGCTTTTAATCCAGAATGGGATCAGAAGTGTTAGCCAGGTAAGAGAGATATATGATGGTATAGTACAGTACTGTCATTTTTTTCCTTTTGTACCAAAGAAAAGGGAAAGTAGTTGTTGTTTGCTGCTGTTTAATATTCTAATCTCAACGGTTCTGAGTTAATGATCTCTAGTAAGATTTTTCTGACTATTCAAACTGTGGTTTAATTTTGTTGTTGTATTTAACCTTGATTTAGATATTAGCATGTACTCAAGTTCTATGTGGTGATTTGCAGTTACTACACAAGAGATCCATATTGTTTGATTCTTAAAAAGTACTATATCCTTTTTCTATTGTCTTCAGCATTCTAAAATAATGCACCATGATAGACTATCAGTTATGCAAGTTAATTCTGTGCAGTTCTGAGAAGTATTTTAGACTGTGTTTTCAGCAGTGGGGACTAAACTGTTACTTGCATTGCAGATCATCTCATACAAAACTCTCAAAAAAGAGTATAAACTATTTGAAGCAAAGCGTCGCCTCTTGAACAGATTTGATCTCTTTCTGTCTGATGACCGAATTAGAAGGCTCTTGCCCTCACATCTAGGAAAACACTTTTATGAAAGGAAAAAGTAGGTCTTTAAATTCTGTGTATCCATTTAGCTTTGTATTTTTTTAATATTAGATTCTTCTTAGTAAAGTTTTGGTTGGTTGGGTTTTGGGGCTGGGGGATTAATTTTGTTTTGGTTTGGTTTTTTAAATTTATTTTTTTTTATACCCCCCCTTTCTTTTTTAGGGCACCTTTATCTGTAAACCTGAAAGCCAGAAATCTTGCTAAGGAACTACAAAAACATATCCAGGGGACTATACTCCCAGTTACCAACAAAGGGTGCTGTTAGTAAGTATGAGTAGATTAACACTTCACTTGAAGGACAGTTGTACCTTAACTGTAGGAGTTATTCATGTTCATTGATATGAATAAAAGAGGTTAAGGGTCACCATTCCAGATATGGACCATTTTGAACCTTAAGCTGTATAAAGAAATCAGTAGTTCTACTTAATAACAAGTTTTACTGTAGAGTTTTACTTGTCTTTTTCCTTATTCCTAAGGAATTTTTAGGCAGCTGTTGCTGTCAAACAGCATGTACAATCTTAGAAAAATATTACTGTTAAATTAGTTAAAAACTATTTCCAAAATATTCTATTCTTCTAAGAGTTTCTTCATTTATTGTGCGGCTAAAAGGATCTAAATTGGTAATATGCTTAGTAATATAAGGCAGAAGTTGTATATCCAAATACAGAAACATTAGTACAGGTAAATCTATTCTAACTCTTGTTACAAAAGACTTCTGCAATAGCCAGCCATCCTTTATGAAAATTAAGATAATTGCAGATAAGTGGGCTTTTTTCATTTCTGGGTATGCCTCAAAACAAGTAACTTGAAGTATGTTTATTCACCCACATAAAAATATTACTGTTCACTTCTTTCAGTACAGCACGTGTAGGTCACACTGGAATGAAAGCCGATGAGATAGTAGATAATATCATTGCAGCAGCTACGGTGATTGCTCAGAAGTTACCAAAGGTACTGCTGATTGATTGCATTAAAGCCAAGGAGGTTCATAATTCAGCAGTGCTATTTTTACATAATTTACTTTTTGTTGTTGCAGAATTGGAAAAACGTAAAAATTCTTCACCTCAAAACGCTTAAATCCGTTGCACTTCCAATTTTTACTGCAAATATCTCCAACTTGGACGAGCTTGACAGACAGCCATCTCTCAAAAAAAAGGAAGTAAAGGTAAAAAACCAAAAACAACAACAAAAAAAACCAAACCAAAAAAACAACAAAAATCCTTCAAACTTTCCATAAAAGCAAATTGGAATGACTAGTTCTTTGGCTTCCTTTTATGCATTAATAGTGTCTGATATGTTGGGTTTAAACATTTTAGCAGTGGATCCCAGGCAGTCCTTGCTACAAATGGGATAGGCGCTCCTGACTGCCTGCTTTGAATATTCAGTAATACTAACTTATTTCCAGTTTGCTTTACAACTTGCCAGGGGGTTTCCACAATTTCGTAAATTAGGCATTTCTAATCCTAAATTGTAGGGAGCGGGGATTAATTTTTAGAACTTGTATTGTTTACTTGTATTTGCCTTCTGAAAATACACTCATTAACATATACATGGATTGAGACTATGCATCTGTTATTTGTTGGCTAATCAGTGGCATCTGAATAATTCACAAGCTCATATATTTGTATATATGAGAGAGGGCTCACCTATTTTTTTTAAAAAAGAAAATAATCAGCTATTCCTTTGTACTGAGTTCTGCTTATTATGTTCTGTTGTCTAAAATAAATTTGGAGCATGTATATTCAACTTAAAGACTGTAACCTTGACATTATTATCATTTACTTGTGAGCTATGTATAGTAAACTTCTGAAAGTAATGCATTTTTTCATATTTTACATATGGTTGACCAGTCCAGGTCTATTGAACAACAGTATTTAAATTAATGTTGCTAGACTGTCTTATTTTTAACCATATTAAAACAATAATTATACATTTAGAAATATTATGGGGATTTGTCTGAGATGTACTTCCAATTCTAGAAGGAAAAGAACAAGAAACCGAAGAAGGCCGCTAAAAAAATGAATTCAAGTCAAGCCACTGTGACAACTGAAACTAATGCTGATGCTGCTGCTACCCAGGAGCTCGCGATTAAAGAAAAAGTGGAAGTAGTCCAAGAACTGGGTGATCTTGATGATGAAGAAATTCCACAACTGGTGCCCATGCAAACAACCAGCTTAGCTGAGCTGAAGGTAACAAACTGACATTTCAGTTAAAACTAAAGATTTTGAACTCTTGAAAGTGTTCATTGCTCCTTAGGGAACAGTGTGTGTTAACATGCTTCAAGTGAACTGAATTTTTTGTGAATATATCATGAAAGCAAGAGTTGATACATGGGGGGGTGCCTTGGGGACGTGGTTAGTTTTGGGATTTTTTGTTTGAGGAGTTTTTTATGTTTTAGTTAACCCCTCTTACAGACAAAGGAAGCCATTGGTTATTGTCCTTCTACATATTTTTCTGACTTTCTGTCTAGGTCAAATAGCAAGCTTGAAGTCAGAAGAAAGGGTAAATGATTGAGAAACAGCTTAATACTTAATCAAGTAAATAATAAAATTTTTAATTCAAACTTTCTTGGAAAATTTAATGTATTTTAATGTGTCATCTTTTGCCTGGAGTGCAAAACTTGTGGAAAACCAAGTAACATTCTCTAGGACAGTAATATGCAACATTAACAATCACATAATATAAATTAAGAGCTGGCAGCTTGCATGGAGTACTGTATGGACTTATTGTTGCCAATATTGGGGATGATGTGGATCATGCCTGCAAAACAACCAGACTGATAATATGCACGTTTAACAAATATCTAGGAAAGATACTTGGATGAATAAAACAATAATACTTATAAATTTAACTGAGTTATCAACTGCATTCATGATTGGAGTGTATCCTTAAACTCTTAACTATGTACCTCTTCAGGGATGTCCAAACTAAAACTATGATTATGTGCAGGCCCGCCAAAAAAAAAAATAGTCGTAAATCTTGCTTCAAGCTGCACTCACACAGCAGGCTGACGTTAGTTCATGTGATGTGATTGCCAGAGCCCTGTTTGTAGCGACCTGGATAGATACAGCTAGAGTTGGATTGTATTAATTGCTCTGATGACAGCAGCCTTCTTTCACGAGGGCCATTTGGGGGTATGTGATGAGCTCTAGGGAATACTAGGCCTAGTGCCGAGATAAGAGTGCAGTCAGTTTGTGTGCGTACAGCTGGACTTCAAATAGGGCTGATCTCTATTCAATCTATTAAGTCTGGAAATGTGGCAAGAAGAGGACTGTGGTTTAAAGCTGTGCCAGCAGAGGTCAGTGACTTGACTGGCCAAGAGGATCCTTGCATCTGTTAAATCTATTTACTTGCTTACTATTTTGTCATTTTTTCATTATTCTCATGATTTAGTTCTGTGTTTAATCCTTTGCTTCCAGACTGAAATGTGAACAAATTATTTGGGCTAGGGTGCAGTTCAATCAATAGAAAGCATTTGTCATTTATAATGGTTTTCATTGATCATCCTTCTTGAAAAACAGTAATGATGTTTCTTAGGTGGAAAGGTAATTTTTTTGTGTGTGTCTTAAATACAGAAAATGGAACCAAGTCCAGAAGAAGGTGACAACCTGGGTGAGAAAATCAAAACACCCATCGGTAAGAGAAAGAAACAACCTCTAGTGCTGGAGGCTCCAAAAACAAAACATAAATTTACAGAAGAGCGTGCAAACTTGCAGACATCACCAAAACAGAAAAAAGCCAAGCACCTCATCGTGCCAAAGGAAGCAATAAAAGAAAAAGAGATGAAAAAGGCTCCCAAAAAGCCTGAAGCAAAGTCTTTTGCAACACCCAAAGCTGGCAAATCAATACAGTCAGCCAAGAAGTCTTCAAAAACACCAAAGCAAGCACCCAAGAAAACGCACAGGCCACAGTCATCATGAATGTTGTCTGTTGTAACACACTTTGTATAGTCATTCAGTGGTGTCTTTTTAAATATATTGATGAAGTAAAACACCTTCTGAAGAAGATCTGATCCCCAGAGCTTTTTTCACTGAGACCTGTACTGATTCATTTGTGTTTCCTTCTAAGTGACGAGCGGGAACAAATAAATTCAATCTTAATTGGCTCTATTTCTTACCTTTTGTCTTTTCCTGGCCCAAACTAAAAGCATTCAAATTCTTTTAAGTGTCAAAGGGCAGGGAGGGGGGACTATTCTAGGAAAAAGAGCTGAGAAATATTTTGTAAGTGACATCTTCCTGAAGCATAGCTTAGTACTGGAACAGACAAGGGCTGAAGCAAGAAGTATGCATACCAAGAGCAGCAATCTATTTAACATGTGATTTAAAATGTGAAATAACTGCTACGATTCTTTCTTAAATTGTTCGATATAATGAAAACAGGTTGATGTCTATCTATCTTATTCCAGCATGGACAATTTTACTTTTATCGTTGTATGCTTTGACCAGTTACACTTTATGACATCAAGCAAAATCTCCTTACCTTCACTTTTGGGCTTTATTTCTGCTACCAGAACAATTGAGGGTATCCCTGCATGCTGGTCACAATACTGTTGTATTTCTTCCATCTGAAAATCACCAAAGGCTGTATTAATTTCAGGTGTGCCACCTAAGTGAACCAGTCCCATAAAGGCATGAAAAATATACACTGCAGAACTGAAAGGTTATGTATTTGAAACTGTACAGAATAACCAAATTGTTGCTCTCTGTATGGTTACTTCATATCCTTCTCAGAGTGAGAATACAAGGCAGATTTGTGATGAAAAGTCTGAGTGGTAAAAATCTTTATTAGCAGTATTTCATTCAAATCCAAATAGGAAAAAGGACACAAGAGACAAGGAGATTAATGAACAGTATGTAACCAGCCTAATTTGCAGAGTTCAAAAAACCCAATCCCATCTCCTATTTTGGACATCCCGTATCAATAGATTTGCTACTTAGAAAGTCATTGGGTGCTAAATAAAAACTGGTAAAAGAAACACTAAAGAATATTAAAAGATTCTGCTTGATCCATGGTGTCAACATTCTGTTACCTGTGACCTCTTGTGCTAGTCTACCGTAAATATTTTTTAATCAAGAAACAAATTAATCTTAGACAAAAAAGCAAGTCTGACTCAATGATCCCTGTTAGATCTATGCTAACAAAGATCTAATCTTGTCCAAAAATAATCCTATCACTTTCTAGTCTGGGCTGCAAAATATTAATGCACTTCCATAGTAGTGAAGTTAGAGAATACAGATGCAGAACTCGCCTCCTTACTGGAAATGTGGTTTTGTATCTAATTGTTCATGTTAAAATGTTTCTCAATTTATAGATGTGCAGTAAGAAACGAAGATCAGAACTTCTGTATGAGTAATTGATAGTGACCCATGCTATCTTGTAGGTGCTAGAAAAACACATCCTTCACATTGAAAATATTAACAAGTACTGCCATGAAATTCTGCGGCATCTTGAGCCAATCTATGTTGGGACTGCAGTAGTTAGTCTTGCCTTTTCTTTGATAGCAGCACTGGAATTCATACAGCTAGGTAAGACATGTAAAGTGTCCGATTGGCACAGCTACAAACTAACCCATTGGGGAAAAAGTATATGTATATAATATACTGTATAGCAGAATTTGTTGCTTTTAAGTTGCAGAGTATCCAGGATTCTGACAGTTAAATAAGATGTAACACTACTGATGCAACTTTTATTGTTTTCAGCTAACTAATTTCAACTGGCAAGCTGTAAGGACCAGGTCACCACTTCACATCCTTAGTATAAATGCTCTTGCAACAAAGATAATTGAATTTTCTATGCTGGCAGAAGCAGCTAAGATAGAAAACACCTCCCTCAGGGCTGAGCTGGGGAGGCTTAGCTCTGCAAGGTGCATTGGTGAGTATTAAGTTCAGTCTGACATGAACAGCTAGTGTGCAGTAGTTACATCTGAGCCTTTGTAAGGACATTTCTGGGAATGACCATCAAGAGTCATCTGGTATGTTTATGTATAAATTCTTAAAGATCAACCATTTTTATTCCCATTATATTTATTCTGACTTTAGAAATAGAAGGTGAAATGTTTAAGAAACATCCAAATAATTATTTAAGGTACTATATCTTTGACCTTACAGTCTTTATTTTACGTACAAATTGAAGGTGGAAAGAACGGAGGAATGAACTGTAAAAGCCATTTATGGTGTGGCTAGTAAAATCGGTTTGGTAATAAAGCTGTATTACTACAAGTTCTATCGGGAGCCCCATAATTCTGAATTTAAAAAGGGGACTTCAGTTAAATTCTTATGCAACATTTTCAATAGTACTATTTGTCATTAGCTAAGGTTTTGGGGGGGTTAATAGAAAAATCTGTTAACTTTTTCTCTATTAAGAGTGCAGAATAATAGTATTTTAAAATACAGAATTGTCAAGACATATCTAAGCTCTTGATGCACTTCAAGAAATACAAACAGTGCTTTCTTTACATGGCTTATGTATCCTTGCATTAAGTGCGTTGTGGTGACTGGGTAATAGCCAAAAATTTTTTTGTGTATCATTAATATAAGTGAGTTCATTGTTCATGTGACTGAGTTCATGTCCTTTTTAAGTACTGAAAGCAGAGTGGCCATACGGAGGCTAGAAGAGAAGAGGAAGTTGATAACTTTCAAAATATCAACATTCTCATTTAAAAAAAAAAAATCTGTTTTATTATTAAACTTTGCTGCAAGAGTTTAAACTCTTCGTTAGACTAAGAACAAGCTTCTGCAAATAGTCTTTACTTTTATTTAAAAGGTTTAGTAAAGATACTACCAAAATATTTTCTCTAGTAGCACAACATGGTTGTTTTGACTAGAATTGATTCTATATCGCTCATTTGTTCTTCATATTTGTATTAAAGTGGGAACTAACACATGTTCCTCACAGACATAAACTGGCATCAGGAAGCAAGTCTTTCAAAAGACTGCAGTAAGTATTAGAAACTAAAACTACAGTGAAACAACTTAGTGCAGCTACCTTGCAACTTACTACTCTACTGAAGCCAAAGTGCCTTTCTTCCCCCCCCCCCAAAAAAAAAAAAATAAAGTCTGCTGAACTACTACTTTTGCAGGAGAGGAAAAACTTTAAAACTACTTTAACTTCTGGTCTGATTTATATGGCTGTGTGCTTTTTTAAAGAAAGAATCAAATGGACATAAATTCAATGTGTTAGTAACTTCCATGTTTTGAACAATATGAGCTGTTGCTGAAAAATGAATTTCCATGGACAGATAAATACGGAAGAAAAATACCATCTGTCTAGAAAAAACATAGACTAGTTTATGCCTGTAGGTGTTGTGGAAGCCTTCTGCCATGCTTACAGAAATGGCTATATTTGTATGGATGTTTGATAGGATGAGGGTAATAATGTAACTTACACTTTCAGATTAGCCCTTAACCTCAGCATTACTGGGAAGAATAACAGCTAATAATAAAGCAAATATCTGAATACTATCAAACCAAAGTCTTGTCAGGAGGGATGCAGAGAATATAATAGAAACTTGTTCACAAACTCATTTTGTAGGTGTTAATTACATCTTGGGCCATAGGGGGAGGTAAGTTTGGTGCACACAGTAAGAATGCCGAAGGGCTAGAACTATGACTCAAATAGCTCTTTTTCCAAAGAATCTGAGTTAAAATTATTAGTACTGATTTTCTTTTTAAAATTCCCTCACTATTGGTTATTCTATTGTAATTAGATCTGCCTTCTCACTCCATCAATCTTCAGATTAAGCAAAATGGTCATGATTATTTCTTTTAGGGCTGTGTATGATTATTAGAATTCCTACTGCCATCAGGGTAAGTATGTAATCCTAAAATTAGCTTGACTTCCTAAAAGCTATTCTGATTCTAATGGAATAAACCCCCCTAAACTAAGCAGGTATATAAACCTCACTGAAACTTGGATAATTGATACATTATTTTCTTTCTCTTACAGTTTTGAGAGGGACAAAGGTTAGAAGGTTATTTAACCCCGTAACGTGAAGCAGAACTAGAACCATACATGTTTTATTGAAGCTAGGTTTAAACTTTGAAATACAAAAGATACCTGAAAATAATCAGGAAGAATAGTAGTATAGGCTTTTTGGTACCATAATTCTTCTCAAGATAGAAGTGGTATTAGGTCTCAAAGTGAAAGATATTTTATTGTTGAAGTACTTAGAATGATTTGAACTTTTTTCTTTTTAAGAGGATTTCAGCTTGTGATTTCCTAAGGATGTCTTTTATGGAATAACGTCAGTAACACAGGCAGTCACAATGAAGAAGTGGCTTTACTTAGTCTTGATTCTCAATGTTCGGCAGGAGCAATGATAAGTGAACCAAGTGCTGATAGGAATTGAATCCATAATGTTATTATAGTAAACCGATAGCACTTATTGTCATTGGAGGAATAGTCTTCCTCAGCAGCATCATTCTTGGCACACTGTACTTCCACAAACATGTGGAAACCACATATGCTCTTAGGCCTGTCAGACTTTCCATTGGCTTGCTATTTCTAGTTACTGGAACAGTGTGGCTTACCTATCACTAAACAAACTCTTAGATCTAAGTGCCTCATGAGAGTATGTGCAAGAGAGCCTACAGCTGAATATAGTTCTTGTGCTTGAGGACTTGGGAATGTTAAAAGATGCGTACCAGGTCATTAACTGACATAAGAGGGAACTGAAATATGTGTCTTGCCTTTTATATAACTCTTTTACTTGCTGGATTTTTTCATCTTGCCTTCACAACTAACTTCCTGTTTGTTAACCTGAAGGTGTATTCTAAGTACTCTTTTTAAGCCAGCCTCCTCAAGTATGTAGTTAAAATAGTCTATATGGCTTTGCAGATGCACATTATAACTGTCTTGCAAATCTCTGCTGCCTACTAATAGCTGCCTCCTCTTGCAAGTATGGAGTTCTGCAACACGTACC